AGAAGGAGGGTGCGAAGAACAGGAAGAAGACATTTTACCTTGAACCCTTGGAGAGAAGGAAAACAAAGAATACTTAAAATCTGCATTTGAAATTTTGATTCGTATGGGGAAACAAAACATACCTCTGGATGGACATGGAAGCTGATGAGACCCCAGAAGGTCTCCGTACTCCTGATAAGTTTTGAGCACTGCTGGAGAGCTGGATAAATCCTGGTGAAGAGGTTCTGAGAAAGCACTTTGAGACCGCACAGTCAACATGTTGTTCTGAAAGCACAGCAGAAACAGATGCTAGAGATCTGGGAGAGCTGCGTTCAGAAAGACGCCCTCTGGGCAGTGAGAGCCCCCGCCCATGTTGGTGAGGTTTGGTGACGAATCTCATACCTAAGAGAGGCATCTGTGGGCTTCCTGTCTTTTGAATTTGATGCTGCAATTTTGGCTGTGAAATTTCATGGTATGATAACTGAGACTTGGGGATCAAACATGTAGTATTGTCATGGCCAGACTTATCTTGTGTCCGGTGGATTTTCTCCCCAAATGAAAGCAGTGGCTTATAGACTTTTAGAGAAATGTCCCCAAGCCATCTACATACTCTGATCTTCCTGTGCCTTACCTGTGTGGTTGGCAGGATTGGTGCTTGCCATGGGAGTGTCTGTTGCATTAGGAACAATTAAGGAAGTTTGTTCTTTTTTCCATCGATTACCACAACTGCCGTCAGAGCTTGACCATGTCATTTCTATCCTCCTTTGAAACAATGAAGAAAGGGCTAGAGAACTCAAGGAAATGTGCCATTCTCAGTGGACAGGCAGGCATGATACATTTGAAATTTTAGTAGACTTCCTACAAGCACTTGTTTTATGTTTAGATGGTATGAATGGCAACACAAATATTAGATGGAGTAACTATATAGCAGGCAGAACACTTGTCCTCTGTAGCACAATAACAGATTTTGATGTCATCGTTACCATTGCCGTTCTTAAAAATGTACCTTTTACAAGGGCCTTTGGGAAAATCTCCAGGTGCAAACCCCTGAAGTCCTCATCGCAGCCAGCAGCTCGACTGCAGTGCTGCATTCACCAAATGAAGTGATGGACAGTATTGACGTTTGTCATGAATTTTGGTTTGAGGAAGCCAGCAATTTGGCCACCAAGCATGATATTCAGATGAAGCTCCCTGGGAAATTCCACGGAGCCCGGCGAGGGAGCCCAGAATCTCAGCTGACCTCTGAGAGTCACTATAAAGAAGCTGTCAGCATTCCAACCGTGGAACACATTGTTCGGGAACTGAGAACTGTGTTCTCAGAACAGCACCTCAGAGCTCTTGAATGCTTGTCTCTGGTACCTCTGTCATGGGGCAGCTCAGTGCAGTCCATTGGAGGGGCACCGTGCTGCCGCGGACAGAACCCCGATGCACTCTCCGCTGCGCTGCATTGTGTTTGAATCCAGTGGAAACGCAGAGGGAAAGATAATCAAGCCTCGCCCGCCATTTTTTCCTAATGTTTGTGCACTGCTGAAGGTGCTGTGTGTTCTTCCTCTGTTGAAGATTAAGAATGGAAATTATGAAAATGGGTGAAAGCATCTCAAAGCATATCTGAGGACCACTTTGACGGATCAAAGGTCAAGTACCTCAGCTTTGCTTAGCATCAGTTTTGATATAAAATGTGATTTGGATTTAATGGCGGACAATATATCAAACCCTATGTAATGAAGTTAGAGCCTTCTACAGATCATTCAGAAACCATCAAAAATACCTGAGAGACCTTTAAAACAGGCATTCTCTTATATTTGATATTGAAAAATCTGTAAGAAATTTGGAAACATTTTATGGAGAAGCTATAAGGTATTTGTAGGCCACGTGATCACTGAATATCTTGAGTACATTAGCCATTGCTAATCTGCCTGTTTGAGCTCTCACACTTTGGAGAACTGATCTTCCAGAAGATATTTGCAAGTGCCGTGTTACACGCCTACACAATCTCCGCTAATGGCACTTAGGGGTTGTTTTAGCTAAGTCATTTTAGACCTAACGCTCATTTTCACTGTTGGTCCAGTCGTCAGGTATTGAGTTGTCAGTTCTTTGAAGAAATATATTTTGAGGAGGTGTGGGAGGAAGTAATACATTTTTAAAAATCTTACCGTGAAGCTCATGACTAATCTTTGAATAGCAGAAGTTTTAAGTATGCTATTAAAAACCTGTAATGGCCCTGACTGGTGTGACTTGGATGGGCACCACCTGCAAACCGAAAGGTCACTGGTTGGATTCCCAGTCAGGAGAGCACCTGCCTGGGCTGCAGGTTTGGTCCCCATTCAGAGCGTGTGCAAGAGGCAGCCGTCAATGTTTCTCTCTCACATCCATGTTTCTCTCCCTCTCTGTCTCCCTCTCTTCCCCTCTTTCTAAAAATAAATAAATAAAATCTTTTTTAAAAATCCGTAATGGAGCCCTGGCCAGTATGGCTCAGTGGTTGCAGAATCATCCTGTACACCAAAAGGCAGAAGGTCACAGGTTTGATTCCTGATCAGGGGACATACCTAGGTTGCAGGTTCGATCCCCAGTCAGAGTAAATACAGGAAGCAATGGATTGATCTCTCTCTCTCTCTCTCTCTCACACACACACACACACACACACAGGCATATCCCCCTCAAAAACTAAATCTGTAGTGGACAGTTTAGGGAATTAAGAGACAGTAAAACAAACATGTGAGTTTGCCAAACAAGGATTTCAATATGGATTTTGTCTTTATTCCATGAACAAGTTACAGTTCAAGATTTAATGGAAGAACCTGCCATTGTTGTTCCTCATGTGGTTGTTGCTGTTTATATTCCTTTGTTTTACTCCTCAACAAAGGATATGTTTTATTGATTTTGGGGGGAGAGAGAGAGAAACATCGATCAGTTGCCTCCCATATGCTCCGTGACTGGCAATCGAACCCACGATTTAAGTTATGTGCTCCGACCAGGGATTGAACCCACAACCTTTTTGGTGTGTAGGATTATGCTCCCAGCACCTGAGCCACTGGGCCAGGGTGAGCCTGTATCTTCATAAGCTTTTTAGCAGGTATATGTCCAACACTTCTGTTTCATGATCAAAACAGGATCAGCAGCCATGGAGACTGACACCTAGTTTGTCAGTTTTCTTCTGTCCTTTTTCCATGACTGTATCTTCTGCTTCATCTTGATATATAAGCAAAACCTGGAAAACCTACAAAAACATGTTTTGTGGTTATCTAGGGATAGTGCAGAAACCATTGCTGTTATTTTTGGTGAAGAAAGTCAATTTTGTGTAGTTTATTTCAATGTAAACTATGAATTTTGTTTTTTAAAAAAAAGAAAATGTATTCACTTGATGTTTAGGAACACTTACTTATACAGCTTATGGTCATTTGTACACAGTATTTGAAAAAGCAGGCTGTGGTAGAGAACACGGGTCTGGTTATCCTGCAGGTCTGAGGTCCAGGGCCAAGGTCTGCAGATCAGGTACCTCACTGAGCCTCATCTTCCTTATCTGCAGGGTGTGGGCATGGAACTCAGTGGCCTTCCACATGTATGAACTGTTACAGTTGTTTGATACTCTTCTCTTCCACTCGATCACCCCCATCCCAGGCTGCCTGGCCCTCCTCGTTGCCCCCAGTGGATACCCTGGCAATACTGATTGCCAAACTGCACGGACAGCACCTGTGGTGGCCAGGAGGTGGCACTTTGGTATTTTCTGCAATTGAAGAACAAACCACAGGAGAAAGCACTTGGGGTTTTGCTTTGCTGACCAAAATAGAATATCTAGGGATTGAAACCATCAAGGAGCTATGTTTTTCATGTTTGCATGTAATAAATGGAATCGGCTTTCAGTAGTGGTGATGGTATACAGGTCTGTGGGTCTTAATACATGCACAGATTGGTGTAACAATCACCACAATCGGGAGGCAGAGTCATCCATCACCCCCCAAAACACCCTTGTATCTGACTCTCCCTGATCCCAAACCCTGACATCCACTGATCTGCTTTCCATTCTTAGAGTTCTGTCTCCTAGAGAACATCACTTAAATGGAGTCATGCAGTAGGTCACTTTTTGAGACTGACTGCTTCACTTAGCATAATGCCCTTGAAATATATCCATGTTACTGATAATGTAATCTGTATCATTAGTTCATTTTTTTTATTGCTGGGCAGCATTCCGATGTATAGATGTATCAATAAACATCAAACAAAGATGTCTATACATTCACCTTTAATGGGTATTTTAGTTGCTTCTAGTTTTGGGCAATTATGAATAGAGTTGATATTAATATACACGTATAAGTTTTTGTGTGAACATAACATTTTATTTCTTTAGGATAAATGCCTAGGAGTGAGATTGCTGGGTCACATGGCATTTTTATGTTTAACTTTTTTACTAACTGCCAGGCTGTTTTCCCAGTGATTGTACCATTTTTACACTTCCACCAACAATGTATGAACCTGGAGTTTTCTTTTTCGAAAAATCTTTAACTACAAATTTAATTTTCTTAATATACATAGCAGTAGTCAGCGTCTCTATTTTTTTGGGGGGGTGAGTCTTGGTAGTTTGTAGCTTTCAAGGAGTTAATTTGGTTTTGTCTAAGTTATTGAATTTATGTACATAGACTGGTTGAAAATATTCTTATTCTTTTAATGTTTATATGGTCTGTGATATGCCCTCATATCAATCATATGCCCTCATTTCATTCCTCATGTTGGTAATTATATCTTCTCTCTTTCATGCTTTTAGACTAGAGGTGTAACAATTTTATTGACCTTTTGAAAGACTCAGCTCTATGCTTCATTGATTTTTTCTGTTGTTTTTTTTTCTGTTTTCAATTTCATTAACTTTTATTCTTTATTATTTCCTTCCATCTACTTGTTCTATGAAAAATAAAAATGAAATCATCGGGAATACTGAGAAAAAATGTCTTATTAAATTATAAGAAGTCTTTTTAAATGTGTTCCACTGAGCACTGGCCTGATAGTTTTCCATGCTGTGTCCTGCACAGTTGACCGGTCTGAGTGTCTCCAACGGGAAGGACCAACTGGTCGTGTTCCACACCAAAGACAACAAAGACCTCGTGGTCTGCCTCTTCAGCAAACAGCCCACCCACGAGAACCGGATTGGAGAGCTTGTTGGAGTCCTGGTGAATCATTTCAAGAGGTAACGTTTGAGTTTTGGAACTAAGACAAGGTTTAAACATACGAAGTCTTTCGTCATAATTCTCACTGAACTTGTTTTTGTGCCAATTTTAGTGTTTTGAGTTAATTTTCCCTCATAAGGACAATGTAAATAAATAATCTGTTTCACAGAAGGCAGTATTAGCCTCCAGGCTTAGTTTCAAGATTAGGAAGGATTCCTCTACTCTTCCAGCCTCCTGCTGAACCAACAGTGAGAGATTTTGCTAATGGCAGTTTCTTCCCTGCCCATCCAAATGTAATTAAATCAAAAAGATAGAAAATTTTCTTTTTGTCACAGCACCTTGTTTACCCCCTAATATAATCAGTGAGCACGTCTGCTGTGACCGTGAACCAGCTAGAGGGCAGGTTTAGAGTGACGTGGGGGACCGTGGCAACTAAAGGGGCTCTCGAGAGAGGCAGTAACTTCTACAGAAACTTGCATTGTGCTGGAATGTGGCGCGTTCTGAGAACTTCCTGGGAAACAGTGATGATACCTGGGGTGTTTATGCGTGTATGTGTGCGTTGTGAGCAGTGAATGGTGTGAGAAATATAAAGAGAACAGGTCCTGAGGGTGATGGGGACCAGTGAGTGGATAATTTTAAGCAGGAGAGCGCTGCTGTCCGGTTATCTGTTGGAGTCATTTTGAGGTGGGCTTTTCCTTCCCACGGTAGGTCATGGAGCGTTTAGGGCAGGGTGCTTCTCTGACTTCTTCCCGTTGCGGCAGACCGTCTCTGCCTGCCGCTGGGAGACTGCACCTCAAACCCAGTGACTGAGTAGTGAGCACGATGTCCAGTTCCTTTTCTTCTGAAAGACATTTACTAAGTTGCCAGAAGTAACCGAGCATTCCTTATTAGTACTGCTTATTCTTTAGGTTTAGACATCACTCCCTTATCTAAGCAAAGGCATATTCACAATGAGATGTCCACGTGTCTAATTCTGCTATGTTCATCTTTGCTGATAAATATATGGAGTATAATTTCAGAAGTGTGCTGCACAGACTATTTATTTTATGTTATTAAACCTCATATTCCAGATCAAAATAGACCTTTAAATATCCTATATAACTAAATGCTTTTAAATGCTATAAATAAAATAACATTTAATGATCATCTGGTGGAAAAAATAAGGATTCTAAGTAAGGAATTACCAAAAAATAATAATAAACATATGGGCCTTTGAAAAATTCCCTTTCATCTGCCAAATAATTATAAAACTAAGAGAAATACTGAAGAGTTGAGACTGGAAGGGAGATACAGGGCAAAGGCATCTCTACAATTAAATGTATAACCCAAGTTAGCAGCCTTACAGCATTTTCCTCCTAATATTTAGTCATGGCAAAATATGAACAATTAGAGAGGTTTTAATTTGGATGCCTGTACTAATAAATAGTTTGCCTGGGAAGTTGAAGTATGGTTTTTTTTTAATCAATCTGGATCTTATTTAACAAAGTCCAGCCCCTGTGAAATGCCTCTGCACTCGGGGGGGGAAGGGGGGCAGCAGAGAATGTGAATCTGACCCCAGAATCCACCACTGCTCTCTTTCCCCAGCAAATGCATTTCCAGGTGTGTCTCCAGTTGCACTCCCTCAAACCCTCGGTACAGGGCGGGGCCCAAGTAGGTTTACAGTTGTTCACATGGGAAATAATATAGTAACTAATAAGTAATAATACAAGAATTTACTCTGTGTTTTGCATACTCACACCTGTATATGTAAAATTTTTAAATGTCTTTAAAATTTATAAATGGAAGAAAGAGCAAAAGGCCATCAAGTTTTTAGATTTTTTTTTCTTTTTCTTTTTTTTTATTGATTATGCCATTACATTTGCTCTACTCCCCCCCTCCCTTCCCCTCCACCCTGCATACCCCTCCCCCACCATTTCCCCCCTTTAGTTCATGAACATGTGTCTCAATTTCTTTAGATTCTGTATTTCCCCTACTATTCTTACCCTCCCCCCTATGTATTTTCTATCTACTGTCTATGCTACTTATTTTCTGTACCTTCTCCCCCCCCTCCCCTCCTCCCACTCCCCTATTGCTAACCCTCCCTGAGATCTTCATTTCTATGGTTCTGCTCCTGATCTAGCTATCCTCTTAGTTTGCTTTTGTTTTAGGTGTGGTTCTTAATAACTGTGAGTTTGCTGTCCTTTCACTATTCGTCTTTTTTATCTTCTTTTTCTTAGGTAAGTCCCTTTAACATTTCATATAATAAGGGCTTGGTGATGATGAACTCCTTGAATTTGACCTTATCTGAGAAGCACTTTATCTGTCCTTCCATTCTAAATGAAAGTTTTGCTGGGTAGAGCAATCTTGGTTGTAGATCTTTGGTTTTCATGACTTGGAATACCTCTTTCCAGCCCCTTCTTGCCTGTAAGGTCTCTTTTGAGAAATCAGCTGACAGTCTGATGGGAGCTCCTTTGTAGGTGACTGTCCCCTTAGCTCTTGCTGCTTCTAAGATTCTCTCCTTCATTTTAATCTTGGCTAATGTAATTATGATGTGCCTTGGTGTGTTCCTTCTTGAGTCCAACTTCTTTGGGACTCTCTGAGCTTCCTGGATTTCTCGGAAGTCTATTTCCTTTGCCATCTTGGGGAAATTCTCCTTTATTATTTGTTCAAATAATTTTTCAACTGGTGGTTGTGCCTTTCCCCCCTTCTGGTACCCCTATAATTCGGATGTTGGAACGTTTAAAGATGTCCTGGAGGTTCCTAATCTTCTCCTTATTTTTCTGAATTCTTATTTCTTCATTCCTTTCTGTTTGACCATTTTTTTCTTCCTTCTGGTTCTCTCCCTTGATTTGAGTCCCAATTTTCTTTCCATTACTATTGGATTCTTTTGTATCCCCATTCATTTCAATTAATTTAGCTTCCATATGTTTCTTAATTTGTGGCTAAAGTCAACCAGTTCTGTAAGGATCCTTATAACCAGTGTTTTGAACTGTGCATCTGAAAGACTGGCTATTTCTTCATCACTTAGGTCTATCGGTTCTGGGGCTCTGAGTTGTCCTAGAGCCATTTTTGGTCTGTTCGCGCTGTTAAGTGAGCGGAGCGAAGCCTTAGTTGTTTACCGGGACGGGGCGACCCAGGTCGCTGGTTTGTGACGCTGTGTGTGGGGGCGGGGTCAGAGAGGGAGTAATGGCGTTCCTCTCCGCTAGCCCAGCGTTTCCAGTCACTCCGTACGCCTGGGGTTTATCCGATGGGAATTGCGCGAGCCTGCTGCCCTGCGCCGGCTTCCCTTCTCACTGGCTTCTCCGCACGTAAATGCACGCGACTGAGCGACCCACCGCGCCCCTTCTTTGTGCGCTCCGGCAGCCAGCTCGCTCGCAATCGCGCCCTCGGTTCCCTGCGCGCACCGCCCCGGGAATTTTTTCTTGCTAACCTGCTCCGCTGCTGGCCTGGCTCCTCGTACCGGTCCAGCCGAGTATCTAGTTGTCCTTTGGACTCCGTATTGTCGATTTTCCGTGTGGCTTGGTTGTGACTGCTGTTAAAAATAGTTGTTCTTAGATTTGGTTGTGCACAGAGGCGAGGTGGATCCTCCATCTACGTCTCCATCTTGGCGGAAGTCTGAGATTTTTTAAATACTTTATTCTTGATGTCCCTGTCCTATGAATTAAGAGGCCAAGTACCAATAAGAGATAAAAACCCCTCCTTCCTGCCTCCAGAAAATTCAGGCTTGGATTTTTGTCTTAGAGCTATAGTCATCAGCTTGTATTGACTTCTTGAGGAAAAGTTAATTTGGTTTTCTTTTTCTAGCTATTTTCCTTTATTGTCAAGTTTCATATCATTGGCATGACTTTGAGAAACAGATTGTGTTTTACAAGCATAGTGAGGTTGCACATAATCATATTTATTCGTGGGTTAATTATGGAAATCCAAAGGTGAGAGGGATTTAAGTCTGGATCAGTTCTTTATTGTCCAAATAATTTTCTTCAAGTACATTCTGAGAAGTTCTGTAGTTGAAGTTGAGAGGAAAGGGCTCAAAATAACAAAGCATATGTTGATAAACGATGTGAACAGGAGTCATTGCCTGAAAAACTATAAAGAAAAAGGCTTAGGACTTAAAGTATGTAAGTGAAGTTCCTGCCAAGTTTCAGAGAAAAGAGGGAGACATAAAAATTAGGAAAGTATCTCATACTAGGCCAACACAACACTATACCCAAAACAGGTATGAATAATACAAGAAAAGAAAATTATAGTTCAGTCTCATGTTAGTGCACAGATTTTTTAAAATGCTAAATAAACTGCTCCTTCTATCGCTTCTCGGCCTTTTGGCTAAGATCAAGTGTAGTGTCTAAATAAAATGCTCCAAAATTGGATCCAAGAGTTTTTTTACAAGAATAATGCATCATGGCCAATGAGGCTGTACCATAAGCATACAAGGCTGGCTAACCATTAGAAAGGTCTGTTAATCTATTCAATAGTGTTTTTTCTGTTACCGTTTATCTGCCTATACCCTCTTCCACCTTTACCCACCCCCAGAACCCCCCCAAGTCACCACACTGTTGTCCGTGTCCACGAGTACTTTCTCTTATTTTTTCCTTTTTTGCACAAGCCCTTCACCTGTCCAGAGCTGCCAGCCTGCTCTCATCTATGAGTCTGTCTCTGTTTTGCTTGTTAGTTCAGTTTGTTCATTCAATTTCACATGCGAGTGAAATCATGTGGTATTTGTCTTACTCCGACTGGCTTATTTTACTCAGCATAATGTTCTCCAGATCCCCCCATGCTGTCACAAAGAGTGAACTTTTCCTCTTTTTTACAGCCAAGTAGTATTTCATCGTGTAAATGTCCCATAGTTGTTTTATCCTCTCATCTAATGATGGACGAGGGCTGCTTCTAAATCTAGGCTATTGTAAATAATGCTGCAGTGGACATAGGGGTGTTTATATTCTTTTGAACTAGTGTTTCGAGTTTCTTTGGATAAATTCTCAGTAGTGGAATCGCTGGGTCATAAGGCAGTTCTATTTTTAATTTTTTGAGGAACCTCCATACT